TTATGATTGGAGGAAATATCTCAAGTTTATTCTATGAGTTGTAAGACTTATTGAAGACTCATTTTCTTTGTGCACAAGGTAAGTCCTTACCTCAGGTCCTTATACTTTTAGTATAAGTCCTTATCGGGTGTACATGTGGGTGTATGGTTCAGGGGAACCTACACATTCTGGTGTTCAGATGGGGGTAGTGTTCATATTTTAAAATTATGTTTTTTAATTAACTTTTACTAAAATATTTATTTGAACATTTTTATACACTATAAGGAGTACACTGAGCCTTTTAGCTCACTCTTTAAATTTTTAACTTTGTGGATACTATCCGGCAATATGCTAGTAGACTTGGCATCAAGAATATCGACCGTTCTTCCTTTTGTATCATTGTATATTCCTATAAGCTTCTTTTGTTATATTTTGGTGGCTTGTGTTTTACAACTGTCTTGACATATATGTATTACCGATATTTTTTTCGACGTTAGTAATTCTACATGTTTACCTTGTGAACATTTTATAATGGTTGTTTCTCTATCATAATGTTATATGGTTTTTATTTACTAAAATTGATTTTACGTATGTTTTAATATGGAAGGGAATTTTGTGTATAACATGTGCCTACCTAGATTCGATCGTAATACCTAATCTGGGCCTTAGGAGTTACACTTGGTGGTATCAGAGTTAGGTTATAAACACTCAGAATTTGGAGGAGCCCTAAATATCGAACTTTTAAAAGATATTTTTTTGATGTTTTCAAACAATTTGTCACCCTATTTTACAAATTTTAAATATATTTGAGATTTCTGATGCTATTCTAACTTATGTTTAAATTGTTTCTATAGAGCCTACTAGACCGTTTTGATGAGTTCTAGAAGTCTTAGGAGAAGTCAGTCATGACCAACTCGGCCTTAAATTTTTATAGACGATCCGACGTTAGAGCGAGATCCTCTTGCTCTGTGCGTCCATCCATATACTTCTCGAGACGATCCAATTACATTTGAGACAGACCCTCCTGTCACCAAGGATGAGTATCATCAGATAGATGAGTGTGGCATTGATAGAGTTGTCTATCACATGTTTTGGAGGACTACTAAAGCTCATGCTATTATGTCTATTGTAGATATATCTATGTCTCTGGTGACTGTTGGTGTAGTTCTGTTGTAGGGCATTACTGTGAGACCTCCAACTAATGTCGAGTACTGGTTAGATGATATTGACGGGATTATGGATGAGATGGAGTTGAGGCCAAAATAGAATTTGAAGGGATCGCTAGCCTTGCTTAAGAAGGAAGGGGTAAGGTGGTGGCATTCAATTTCTAGGAGTATCCTGACGGATCAGTTGACTTGGGATATTTTTAAAGAATGTTTTAAGAGTCACTCCATTGGATAAAGATACTTATATGAGTGACATCATGAGTTTTAGAGTTTAGAGTAGGGTTATATGATTGTTATGGATTACGAGTTTGAGCTTACCAGACCGAGTCATTATGGTATTGGGCTTGTGGAGACTGAGTTGGATATGTTCTTGAGGTTTGAGAATGGATTGAGATATGAGATCAAAAGTCGGGTTGCTACCCACTAAGAGAGGAATTTTGATGCTTTGGTTGAGATAGCCAAGACTACTGAGGAGATTAAGAGAGTGGGTTTGGAGTGTAAGAGAGATGGAGATAGAGAAAGAGATCAATTCATGAGACCTTTTGTCTTCGATGATGCTTCTACGTATCCCAGCAAGAGAGGTAGGGGAGAGTCTTCTTAGAGAGGTGGTATGAGTTCTAGGCTTGTAGTGTCAGCCACTCTAATAGTTCCAGCTTCTAGAGTACCTCCATTGTCTGTCTGTGAGCAATGTGAGAGATGTCACTTCGTTGAATGTCAGAACAAGATGGGTACTTATTTAACATGTGGATCTAGAGACTATTTCTTAAGAGATTGTCTAAAGAAATCTCATGCTGGTCATGCACTAGTTTAGACTCCTACTCATACTCATAGTATAGTTCAGACTCCAACTGGGGGTCGTAGTCAACTAAGAGAATCTAGGTCTACTAGTAGAGGCCACCTTCTTAGAGTAAGGTTATAACGTGGACTGAGGCCAGACAGTCTGAATTGGTTTTTGCTGCTAGATATCGATAAGATCGTGATGAGCCTGATGTGATTGTAGGTGATGTTACCTTTTTTTCAATTCCATATTTTGCTTTATTTGATATCGGTTTTACCTATTCCTACGTATCGCATTCTGTATCTAGAGATCTTAACATCCCGATTGAGAATACTGAGAGTCCTGTGACAGTTTAGAGTCTCGTAGGTCAGTCTATTGACTTGGATCGAATTTTTAGAGGGATTCCTATGATAACTCGCTAAAAAAGTTATCTTTTAGGATCATTTTACCTAGGTTAATTTTGAACTTTAGCATCATTAGGAGCATATTAGGATCATTTATACATACTTTTTGTATTATTTGCATCATGGGAATTAGTTGAGGCACTTTGGGTTGGATTTTGAGTGAAATTATACTATGATATTGTAGCATTGCTTGAAGCTACATATAATGCTGACCAAAGACTGCAACAATCGATGACTTACCAGGCGGTTGAAAGAATCTTCTGGAATAGACAACTAGAAGGGGTATCTGTCAAATGTTCAAAAATCACCTAAAACATGGAGGAAACCCATTGGTTTAAGGTCAAAATCCTTAACCTATAAATTGGAGAGTTGATTGCATCCTTTGATATCATATTTTCTAACTTCAATTATTTTCTCCACCACTTTCGATCAACTATGATAGCTTACGTCCTTTGCTAGGAAGCATTATAGTAGCCTGAGAGCTTTCCCAACTAGCATCGACGATCAAGAAGAGAATTTTTTCAATCTTGCTCATCGTTAGAGATAGGGAAGTAACAAGTAGATTTGAATATTATTTCAGTTATGTGGATGATGTTTTGGGTTATGAACTTAGCTGTCTGTGGAATACTTTTAATTACGTTTTATGTTTTGTGCTGTTACACTTTTAAAAGATAGTTGTAGAGATATAATTATCTTCATGGATGTTTATTCATGATATTTAGAGATAATAATCATTAATAGATGTACTACTTTTGTCCAACTTTGGTTTACTGAAAGGCAAGTTTTCATATGAGATATGTACTACCCAATATCTAGCATTGTTACTATTTTAATTGATTAAGTAAATGAGAGTTGGTTTATATCTTTTAGATAATATTAATCATTTATTTATGTATAAATATTTAGTTAATTACATATTCGTAATCGAATTTGCCAAATATCTTCCTAGTTCATTTAATCCTTGACTTATTACTCTCACTAATGCTGTAACACTGCCTAGTATTTTTAGATTTGAATTTTACTCTTATCCACTAGCTTAATTCTAATTCCCTCAAATTTAAGTATCTTTTCATAACTCTTTTTTAGCATATTTTTCTCTAAGGGTTTGATACTCGAAGCTTTCTAAGCTTCCACTTTATTACTTGATTTACGACACTTGCACTTACGTTTGTTTTTGTATCAATTTTATAAAGTTTTTGTATCGTTGTCGGGGAGCATTGATTTTGAATTAGAGTTATTTCTTTAAATTACATACCTTTTTCATTTCTTTTTACAGGTAACTATTTTATTTAGCTTTGTTTGTGTATGCCCCATAGCGATAGTGAGCTAGAACCGTTTGATCCTAAAATTAAAAGAACATTCTTTCAACGTCGAAGATAACCTAACCGGTCAAATATGGTTGGACAAGGTAGAGGTAATAATACTTTACCACTGTTACCACATGTTGATTATGACGAATTAATGACTGGAAATGGAGTTGAGCAACAACAATATTATAAGATGGATGATTGTAATGAACTTATTCGAGAGCATGTTGTGCTAACGCTAGATGATTTATATCTTGTCATTGTGCGACCAGGTATTCACGCTGCCAATTTTGAGCTGAAACCAATGATGTTAAAAATGTTATAGTCCATGAGGCAATATAGTGGTTCATTCATTGAAGATCCTCGAGCCCATCTTCGAGAATTTATGAAGGTTGTGACTCATTTTTTTAGCAAGAAATCCCTAAAGAAAAATTGAAGATGATGTTGTTTCCCTATTCATTGTAAGATAAGTATAGAGCATGGTTGATTTCCCTGCCACCTGGTGTTATAGCATCATGGCATAAATTAGCACAAAAATTCTTGATATGATTCAATCCGTCAAATATGAATTCTAAGTTGCAAAATGCCAACATCTTTTAAGTGATTAGAGGATGAGAATTCATATGAGGCATGAGAGAGATTAAAAAATTTACTGCGATAACGCCCAATTCATGGAATCCTACATTGGATGCAAATGGAAATGTTTTACAATGGTTTGATTATGCAAATTCGTATGGTGGTTAAAGGTTTTTCCAATAGAGCATTACTGGATAAAATGTACAGTAAGGCTTATGATATTCTAGAAAGAATATCTAACAACAATTATCTATACCTCAATACGAGGAACATGTTTGGTCGAAGGAATGTGTAACATTGGACACTAACACTTTCAATACCATGGCTTCCCAAATCACAACATTAATGGACATGGTGAAGAAGTTACAAAAGCTGGGAGGTATGTATGAAGTGAAAACAATAACTATTCTCTCATGTGTTTATTGTGAAGATGATCATAGCTATGTGGAGTACCCCAAAAATCCTAAATCCATATACTATGTGAGAAAATACAATATAAATGATAATTCGTATGGAAACACTTATAATGTCGATTATCACAACCATCTTAATTTTTCTTGGAGAAATTAAAATGTTGCTAATCCATAACAATAACATTATAATCAATAGCAGTTGGTGCCCTAGCCTCAGTTACATCAAAAAGCCCCCACAACCATGACAACATCAAAATTATCAAGGAAAACATTTTATTCAAGCTACCGTTCTAACATCTCTTGAAGCATTAATGAAAGAATATATGATAAGTCAATCAGTATCCTTGAGAGCTCTAGAAAATCAAGTTGGTTAATTGATGATTTCCTTGAGTACTAGAAAGCAAGGTACGCTGGCTAGCGACACTAAGAATCCAAAGCAACACGGGAAAACACAATGCAATGTGGATTGCAATGCCATTTCAACTGAAAGTGTTCCCCACATTGGAAATCCTATTGTGAAAGCTAATAAAACGGATGATGAGGGGATTTCATGGCACGATAAGAACAAAAGCATGTAAGTGGATCTTGAAACACCTATAGTTGATGTTACAAAAAGATGGATAAGATAATGTAGCAATTCAAGGCCACTGTTAGCAGCAATACCGACCACACTGTCGGATGTACTGCCACCTCAATGCCAAGACAACTAAATCAAAGACCTCCCCTACCTTTTCCTCAATGATTTAAGAAGACCAAGGAGGACCAACAATTTAAAGCATTCATTGATGTGGTTAGACAATTAATAATGAACATTTTATTTATTTGAGCATTGGACCAAAATCTAAACTATATTAAGTTAATGCGAGAGGTTCTTTCCAAGAAAACAATACTTGAAGAATTTGAAAATATTACACTCACCAATGGATGTAGTACTATGGCTACAAGTTGATTTCCCCCTAAAATCAAAGATCCAAGGAGTTTTACTATTCCTTACATTATTGGTGATAAATTTATAGGAAAATCATGATGGGATTTAGGTTCTAGCATTAACCTAATGCCATTATCAATTTTTAGGAAATTTGGGAGTGGAGAAGCAAGACCCACCACTGTCACTTTGCAACTGGTTTATGGATCCACCATGCATCTTAGTGGAATTGTTGAGAATGTGATGATTCAAGTGGACAAGTTTATTTTTCCAATATATTTCATCAATTTGGATTTTGAAGCCTACAAGGATGTTTCCATCATACTTGGTCAACCTTTCCTTGTCATCGACCGTCCGTTGATTGATGTTGAAAATGGGGAAATTACTATGCATTTGAATGATGAACTCATTAGGTTATTGTCTTGAATAATGTTTCTTATATTGATGATACTGTTGAATGCTACTCGATTAATATCATTGATAAGTTTGCCTAGGAACATTGGAACAAATATCACACCATGAACAATGTTACCAACAATGCTGTGAAATTTGAGGAGGTAACTGAGGATAGGCAGGTTGAAGGAAATTATATGCAATAATTTGAATCATTCAAACTTCACGATCGAGCTTTTCAAGTTTTGATGTCTTTGATTTTGGAGCCTTCCACATTGGAATTGAAGTTTTTTCCTGAGCATTTAAAGTATGCATACCTTGGAGATAATGAAACCTTGCCTATTATTGTTGCATCAAAGCTTGAAGCATCACAGGAAGCTAAGTTACTTGATATCCTGAAGCAGCACAAGCAGGCAATTATTTAGAGCATCACACATATTAAATGTATCAAGCCAACATTATGTATGCACAAAATCTTGATAGAGGAACGCAACAATAATTCAATTTAACAAAATAGAATTTTAAATTCGACCATGAAAAAAGTTTTTCAACAGAATATCATTAAATGGCTGGATGTTGGAGTTATATACCCGATCTTAGACAACAATTGGGTAAGCCTTGTACAATATGTTACAAAGAAAAATGGCATTACTGTTGAAAAATGAAAAGAATGATTTAGTGTCGAAAATACCAATAATGGATGAAGAATCTATATAGACTATATAAAGTTCAATAAGGCTACAAGGAAAGATTACTTCCCGTTGCCATTTATAGATCAAATGTTAGATCGTCTAGCCGAAAAAACTTTTATTATTTTATTAGATGTGTATAACAGCTATAACCAAATATATATAGCTCTAGAAGATCAAGAGAAAACAACTTTCACTTGTCCATATGAAACATTTTCTTTCTAAAGAATGTTATTTGGTTTGTGCAATGCTCCAACAAGATTTCAGTGATGCATGATGGCAATTTTCTCTAACAGGATTGAAGATTACTTAGAGGTATTTATGGATGAATTTTCCATTTTTAGGAAAGACTTTGATCAATGCCTCACTTATTTAGCTACTGTCATGAAACGATGTGAAGAAACTAATATGGTTTTGAATTGGAAAATGCCACTTTATGGTGATCGAGGGTATAGTGCTAGGCCATAACATCTTTTATTGCGACATTGAGTTAGATAAGGTCAAAGTGGAAGTTATTGAAAAATTGCCACCTCCCACTAGTGTGAAATTAGTTAGAAGTTTCTTAGGACTGGCTTTTATCAAAGGTTCATCAAAGGTTTCTCTCAAATTGCTATACCATTATGCTCATTGTTGGAGAAAAATAAGAAATTTGTGGTGGCTTATGAAGTGTTGAAATCCTTTGAAATAATCAAATTAAAAATGGTTACTACTCCTATAGTAGTAGCATCAGATTGGATCACCCTTTTGAGCTTATGTGCGATGATAATGACCAAGTCGTTAGAGTAGTGTTGGGGTAAAGAAAGGAAAAATCTTCTATGCTATGCATTATTTCAGTCAAACACTTAATGTTGTCCATATCAACTACATAACAATCGAGAAAGAATTACTAGTTGTGGTATTTTCCTTTAATAAGTTATGATCCTATTTAGTTGGAACTAGGGTTATTGTCTACACTTACCATTCAAATTTGAAGCATTTTTTGCCAAGAAAGATATCGAGCCATAGTTACTGAGATGGGTTTTGTTACTTCAAGAATTTGACATTGAAGTTAGTGATTAAAAAGAGTTTGAGAACCAAGTGGCTAATCATTTATCATGCTTGGAAGCTGGTAGTAAATATGAAAAAAATATTAGTTATTTTGGACACATTTCTCGATGAGAGGTTACTAGTAGTTCACATTTTGCCTTGGTATGTAGATTTTGTTAATTACTTGGTAAATAGTTTGCTTCCACCTAACCTTAAGTAAAAAAGTAGAAAAAATTCATGAGAGATTTCCATGCATATTATAAGGAGGAGCCAACCTTTTTAAGCAATGCAATGATAAAATTTTACACAGATGTGTCCCTAAATGTGTACATCAATGCATCTTGCATCATTACCAATGTGCACCTTATGGTTGTCATTTTGGAGGAATGCAGACTGCAACAAATGTGCTACAATTTGGTTCTTATTGGTTGTCATTGTTCAAAGATGCCAATGATTTTGTCAAGTAATGTGATCGATTCCAGCGAACTGGTAGCATTCGTTGTAACAAAAAAAATACCAGTGCAACTTATTTTAGAGATCGAATTGTTTGATGTATGGGGGTTAGATTTCATGGGACCATATCACTCATCATGTGGAAACTATTTTATCTTAGTCGTTTTTGACTATGTATCCAAATAGGTTGAGGCTATACCACTGCCTATCAATAATGATGAAGCAATTTTAAGGTTTCTCCAAAAAAATACTTTTACTCATTTTGGAATACCCCGAGCATTTATCAGTGATGAAGGTTCTCAGTTTATTGGGAAACAAGAGGCAAGAGCATTGAATCAGTATGGAGTAAAACACGGATTGCTACAATATACCACCCACAGACCAAGGGCTAAGCTGAAGTTTCTAACCGTGAGATAAAATAAATTCTCGAAAAGGTTCTCAATCTTTCACGAAAGGACTGATCCCTATGCCTTGATGAAGCATTATGGGCCTATAGGAAAGCTTATAAAACTATGTTAAGCATGTCTCCTTATCGTCTTTTGTATGGAAAAGCTTGTTACTTACCCATGGAGCTGGAATATAAAGCAAAGTGGGATTTGAAACAGCTAAACATTGATTTGGATGATGCTGATGAGAAATAGATAATGGACATCAACGAATTAGAATAGCTTCATAACAATGCCTATGAGATGTTAGGTTTTACAACGACAAGTGTAAAAAATGGCATGGTAAACTTATTTTGCCAAGATAATTTAATGTTGGACAACATGCCTTGTTATTTAACTCTCATCTAAAGTTATTTCCTGGAAAGCTTAAATTTAGATGATATGGTCCATTCGAAGCCCTTGAATTTTTTCCTCATGGTGATGTGCTGATAAAGAATTTTGTGGATGAAAGTTCATTCAAAGTTAATGGGGCAGCGTTTGAAGCCTTATTACCAACAACAAAGCCCTTACATTGCTTCTATCACACTAAGTGAACCTTTTCCTCTTTTATTTTTATAATATTTAAAAGTTAATGGGGCAGCGTTTGAAGCCTTATTACCACCATTCATTCAAACTTTCATCCTTATATCTTTCACCTGGTCATTTAAATTTTAAAATACCATTTTATCCTTAACACATCACATTTACTCTCCTCAATCATAAAAAGCTCCTTATTTACTTCACCTATTTACTCTCCCTTCAGCCGTTACTTTCCTAACAATCCATAAATCTTTCATTTTCTCTTGATTACTTTTCATTGTTCATCTTACACCATCAATGAAATTACCAATCATGGAACGCAAGAAAAAGTCTACTTCCAAGAGTTCCCGTCGACCACCAACTCCACTGCCAAAAGAGCATCTTGTTTAGCTGTTTGCCATCTCTATTGATAGACCGATGAGATTTGTGGAAACTGTACAAAATTGAAGATATAATGAAGAATTTTTAATTGTTTGTTTTTTATGTACAGGGTTTAGACTTATCTTTAATAGATGGTCTGCACGCATATATCACCGACAATTTGACCACGCTCAACTGGGAAAGATTTCGTACTCATCCAAGTGAAGTAGCTCAACAAATCATTTGTGAGTTTTATTGTAATCTCACGGATGATAAAAAAGCCTTTTTTTTTCTGTGAGAAAATGGTGCATTGGTGGGCAAAGCCTATCAACATGCTGTTGGGCATAAAAGAAGCTCAATGTGAACACAAAACATTTGTCAACAATCTCACCACTACTAAGTTAGATCAAGTTGGAATTGATGTATGTTTACTTGGAAAATATTGGGACAAATCAACAACATGTGTGTACATCATCAAGAGGCTAAACCTTCATCGACCAGCAAGGGTATGCTTTACTTTCCTTAATACTCGCTTAATGCCTACAATACAGTACTCCATAATCACTAAGGATAAGATTATGTTTTCTCATTATATTTTATTTGGAAGCCATATTGATGTTGGGAAGATCATATCTACTGAACTTTATGCTTGTGCCCTAAATACCACATTGTATTTGTTTTCCCCTACTATAATCACATCACTATGAAAATAAGAAAAAGTTTCTATATTGTCTTCTGATTAGTTATTCAAGAATCGTACTCCTATCACACTGGCGTCTATCAAGTGAACATTACTGCATGAAGGGTTGGACACAGACCAGCGTGATGAGGGAACTAATGACGGGACTGCTGCTCTTGATGCTATACAGACCATGATACAGTAAGAAAGCCTTGCTATATTAGAGTTATAAAATGCGATAGCAACAGTGGCAAATAAGGACAGTCTCATGTTAATGTTAAGTCATGTTTTACAAAACCAATCTAAGATGCATAATGCCCAGGTACAATACTAGCAGTATACGCACGAGCATGAAAAGGCATTTCAGCAAGTGATCACTAAGCGGTTCAAGGAAGTTGAACTCCTATTCCTTACCTTACCAATGCCAATGTTGGATGATTTAGCTCCACTAGAAATACTAGATGTTGCAGTCAATTCTACTAGCACTGAAAGAGAGGAAGTGGTGGAGGATAGTGCCCTAGATACCGATACAACTATGAACGAGGAAGAAGAGGATATTGAGTATGAGCAGAAGGATGGAAAGGATGATAGTGTAGTTGATACAGCAACATGTACTAAGATACTTGTTGTCAACTCTGAGAATATCAACATTGAAGAAGTTTATGAGGATAATACAAGCCACTAGATAAGGAAGATAGCTTGATATCAGACGAAAGCAAAGATGAACAAGTTGCTCAGCAATTGTTGGATTTAAATGTTGATACTATTAGAGTATGCCCCAAGACCTACCATGTGATGATTGTATGGACACATTTTATTTATCGATTTTATTAAATAAAGGCATTGCCACTATTCATTTCA